TTTGATTGAATTTGTGCTTATACTCCACTAATTTTAGCTGATCGGCTAGGTACGGCAAAAAGTGAAGTATATATGCTCCACTAAGAGTTTTACTCCGCTAACTTATAAAGGATCGGTTAGAGTTTCTCTTAATGGAATGAGAATTTCCAAGCTCAAAAACAAGGACACGTCTAGGGAGCGGCCGGCTGCTCCCTAGCTGTTTAGAGTGGCCTACTTATTTGTCCTAATGTGATCCTAAAAAGGAAAGTAGTATCTTTCATGTGAACCAGAAGTGCTAAAAAGGACGCTACTAATTAATCATTCCACGTGATCTCTTGTCATATGATGGATCTCTGCATGCCTCCTGCTTACCTTGTCTTTTGTGTAATAATTTTGGGTTTCCGAAATTTTAAAAAGCCATATCTTTCAAACCCCGTGTCGGAATTCAGATCTGTTTTCACCATTGGAACCCTCGTGACGTGCTCTTCGAAACTAGATCCCGCATGGGTATGTTTCGATGAATTTTTTTGGTGCCAACTAAGTCCCTCGTTTTGTGCAACTGCCTAACAGACAATGTACAACTACCTGACATTGGATGTGCAACTTTTCGTCTACCTCGTGGAAGTATAGTTTTCATTGATGGCACATCTACTCCCAAACTACCTCCTCCTAGTGAAATGTTCAAATTCGTGTTTTGCCCAGGCCAACTGCCTAGTAGTTCATGTGCAACTTTTCTCCTACCCGTGGTTGTGCTTTCACTGTTTGCTGCATCAGCCAATTGTCTAGCAGTGGATGTGCAACTTCGGATATTGTCACCGCCAACTGTCTACCAGTGATGTGCAACTGTCCCTCATGCCTCATGGATGTGTAATTTTCTTACTAGAACTCAAAAACACCCGTCTAGTGGGATGTGCAGCTTTAGCGCCCCGTTTATATGCAACTTTTACTACCCTCATGAGTATGTAACTTTTCACTACCCTCATGAATATGGAATTTTCACCATCCAACTATCCATGCTTGTGAGATGTGCAACTTTATATGTTGCTCCGGCCAACTACCTAGCAACTTTGTGCAACTCCATTTGTTGCCCCCGCCAACTAAAACTACATATCCGCAAGTAGGAAGGGGAAGGAGTTGCACATTTAGTAGGAGGTTGGCTCGAACAATAGACTAAGTTGCACATATCACTGGTAGGGAAGGTGGGGCAGGGTGTGTCAACTGTAAAAAAAATACACATCCACGAGTAGGACAATCGTTGTACATCGACTACTACATAGTTGGTCAGGACAGTAGATTAGTTACACATCAAATTTTCATGGTTGCTAGGTTGTAACCTCATGTGAAGTTAGATCATGCAGCTCAAAAAACTGGTTTTAAAAAAATTGCACCATGTAGTATTAAAGTTGCACAATGCAATAAGTTGCACAATATAGCGTCAAAGTTGGCATAAAAAATTATCGAAATATACCCATGTGGGATCTAGTTTCAAAGATCTCGTCGCGAAGAATTCAAGGGTGAAGACGGATCTGAATTCGGACGCGCAGTTTAAAAGATATGACTTTTTAAAAATTCGGAAAACCGAAATAATTGCACGTGAACCTGTTTATTCCAAATCGAACTAACCAGTGTGAACGCATTTAATACTAATAATGACATGCATTAGGGCATCTTCAACAGGTTGTATGTTAGTCTTGTTGGTAAAATGTCCATGTCATCAACCAACAAGCTATCATACAACTACTCCAATGAGTTGTATGTAAGCTATCCAATAGATGGTGAGACAATAAATGTAATTGCTCTCTATTTCATCTTGGAGCTTGTGCAAAAGTTGTTGGTTAATCTACATACAACTTTGCTCTCTTTCCACATTTAATACATGCCACATCATCACTATGTCCTAGGTGGCAAATTTACCAACACCTATCTCACAACTGTTGGAGATGCCCTTAGCAGACAAAAAACAACTCATGCATGACTGTGAAGACCGGCCGCTTGTTTCCTCCAAAAAGTGCGCGTGCACTTTAAAGAATTTGGGCAAAAACAAAAACATGAAGGACCGATCTAGCGAGCGGCTGGCTGCTCGCTAATCGTCCCGAGTGGCCGGTCTAAAACAGATAATGTTGATCCCTAATCCAAAAAGGTAATAATTAGTCCATTCCAATTGATAAAACAATTCTAATTAGAAAAAGTACCATGTACTAGAAAAGTACTGCAAAAGCATACATGTGAACAGATATGAACGCATCTAATTTGAGTTTTCAAAATTTAAAAAGTCATAATTTTAAATCGCGCATCGAAATTAAGATCCGTTTTCACAGTTGGAACCCTCGCGACGTGCTCTTCAAAAGTAGATCCCGCATGGATATGTTTAGATGAACTAGTCTTCCAGCCAACTAAACATCAATGCGTGTGCAACTAGACTGTATTGTCGCGCCAACTGAGCATATGTATATGTGCCAATAGTCATGTCAACTAAACATCAACGTGTGTACAATTAGACTGCATTGCCGTGACAACTGAGCATATATGTGTATAACTAGTCCTGCCAACTAAATATCAATGTGTGTGCAATGAGACTACATTGACGTGTCAATTGAGCATATATGTGTGCAACTAGTGTTCTGCCAACTAAACATCAATATATGTGCAACTAGACTATATTACAAGCCAACTGAGCATATGTGTGTGCAACTAGTCTTCCTGCCAACTAAAAATCAATGTGTGTGCAACTAGATTATATTACAAGCCAACTGAACATGTGTGTGTGCAACTAGTCTTCCCGCCAACTAAATATCAATGTGTGTGCAACTAGACTAGTCTTCCTGTCACCTAAACATCAACGTGTGTGCAACTAGACAATATTAAAAGCCAACTGAGCATATGTGTGTGCAACTAGTCTTCCTGTCAACTAAACATTAATGTGTGTGCAACTAGATTATATTACAAGCGAACTGAGCATATGTGTATGCAACTAGTCTTCCTGTCAACTAAATATCAATGTGTGTGCAACTAGACTAGTCTTCCTGCCAACTAAACATTAATGTGTGTGCAACTAGACTATATTACAAGCCAACTAAGCATATATGTGTGTAATTAGTCTTCCTGCCAACTAAATATCAATGTGTGTACAACTAAACTATATTACAAGCCAACTAAATATCAATGCATGTGTGGGCGATACTTGCACAATCGAATCATAGCCCCGGCCAACTATTTGGCAGTCGATATGCAACTCCGAAAGTATAGTTGTGCAACTCTTTCATGGTCAGACGGTTGGGCATGCGGCTTCACATTCCAACAAACTCTCTCCAGTGAAAAAGCATTCTAACTCTCTCCCCCGCCGACGGCCACCCCTCCGCGCCCCGGCGCCGGCCACCCCGACCTCGCCGTCCACCGCATGGAGTCCACCCCCCAGCCACCGGCGGCCGCAACCGCGTGCGACGCTGGCTCGACGACAGCCCGTCCTCCGCGGACTCTTCCTGCCGGCCCTCCCAGCCCAGCTCCTACCGCCACGCGCTGTGTGCGGCGACCACCTCGTGTCCTCTGAGGCCGGTTCCCCGCTCCCCGCCCCGCTGGCTTCCGTCCCTCGCGCCGCCCCAAGATCCGAGATCCATCGCGTGTGCGGCGCCCTGGACGCGCGCGACGCCCTCCCGGAGCCGTGGGTGCAGGTCCGCGGCGCCAAGCGGCCTTGCAGCCCCTGTCTCCGGTGTCCTCCGGCCGGGTCTTCGCGCCGCCTCCCCAGGCTCCCGGGTGCGACAGTATTTCAGTGTGCAGCAATAGTTGATCGAGCTTACAATGTCGCTCGTCTAGCTATACTTGAATAAGCAATGCAAATGCGAGACATCATCTAACCATCCTTGTATTGTCGTGTTGTGCAACTTTTTAATAATCGTATCCAACTACGAACTACTATGTGTGCAACTACAAGTACTGTGGATGCCAACTATGCTGACAAAAATGTGCAACTACCATAATCATGCATGAGCTATTATGTCGACAAGAGTGCGCAACTCCTTCACCATCTCTCGTTACAGCAGGTCAGGAGCAGAAGATATTCTAATCGGTAATCATGAGGGTTGAGACTTGAGAGCAAAGTTTATGTTCATCCAAAGAATTCATGCACGCAACACCGTACAGTAAAATCAATTCCAAAATGCACGAACTGGGGTTGCAAGACTTGTTCCTCATTGGGCTGATCACCGTCAGGCGCTATTGTCATCTAGTCTAGAGCCAAGAGCCCAGGACCCAGTAGGGTGTCGAGGAGGAGGCCCTCATCGAATCCCCAAGGAATGAATGCAGGATGTTCAGGAAGGGCTGGAGCTGCCGTCGCACCGTCACTTCTGGACTTGTGGCCAGTGACAGATCGACGTATTCCGGGAAAACCTCATATGGCGCCCCGACGGCTTGCCGAAAACCTGACGGCCAAGGCTAGTGTGCTGAAAAGGTAAATAACGCGGGCAAGAAAGCGGGTACTGACGAGGAGAAGACGGCGGCGCCGCTGCTCAGGTTCTCAGCCGGCCTGCTTGCATGGATCCTAGGTGAGTTGCCAGACGGGAGATCAACAGGATACGGCGGCACGGAGGCGGGGCGGGCTGCATCGGCCGGTGCGTGGTGTGGCGGCGGCGGCTGACGCGAGGGGATGGAAACAGAAGACGCTGGAGGATAGCGACAGTTCTGCGTGCTCTTTTGTCTTCTAGCGTGAGCGCCCGCGCAGACGCTTCGAATCGAACGGCTCGTGTTCGGCCGCTCCAGAACGACAAATAGTGCGCGTGCACTTTCTAGCTTTTAGGAAACATGAAAGCAGGAATAACATTCACCAACGTTGATTATCACCAACTAGGTATGGCAGTAGACATTGAGTTCAAGTGTTCCCCTGTTTTATTTGGTTCATGGCTCAAGCTGACTGGTTAGAAGAACAGCACGACTTCAGATAGCTAACATCTGCCGCCAAAGCAAAAGCATTCTATTGGCACTTGGATTAAGCAGACGATACTGGCGGTCAGCACATAATAATTCACCACTCAATTGAGCAGGGCATCGATCTTGTCCCCGACGTTGGCCTCGTCGTCCTCGAGGCGGCCGGCGGCGGCGCCCTTGTCCCACCGCAGCAGCGTCGGCACGCCCTTGAGCGCGAACCGCGGGTCCACCCTCCACGGGTGGGCCGGGTCCCTCCACGTGGGCTTGTCGCCGACGAACGCGCGCAGGAGCACCACGTCCTTGCCCAGCGACTCCAGCTTCTCGTAGATCACCGGCTCCGCCACGTTGCAATCTGCACGCACGCACGCCGCCCAAATCCGCTTTGGATCAGCCAGCAGGGATTGGGTTTCATAATTTGATACTTAAGGAAAAGTAGCAGATGGGTTACCGGGGCACCAGGTGAGGGAGGAGGAGGGCTCGCGGTCGGCGAGGAAGAGCAGCAGCTTCAGCTTGCCGCCGTCGTCGCCGGCGAAGAGCCTCTCGAAGTGGCCGTCGAAGTCGGCCACCGTCGCGTCGATCTTCTCCACCGTCATCTCGGCAGCGGCAGGCGAGAGGGAAGATCGGAAGCTTGGAGGGGAAGATGGGGATTGCTGGGGAGTCCGAGGAAAGAAGACGGCCGACTCTTTATTATCCGTGCTCTACGGGATGGCGTGCCCTGAATATTTATTTCTTCGGATTCTCCTTTGTCTCTGTCTCACTGACGGGGGGACCCACCCCTGCCCCGCGTGCCGTCTACGCGAACCGGAATCCTGTCCTCCGGCCGGCCCAGCAGCAGCCCATCAGAATAAGCAGAAGAGACCCAAGACCACTAATCTGGCCCACTAGCTTCCCGTAAACCAAAATCTGCAAGGCTGCAAACCAGACTCGCCCCACAAAAAAAAAATCAGACTCGCAGTCCATACTTTCTTCCCCATCTTCCCGAAAAGCTCCGGCCGGCGTCCCGCCCCCTCCCCCGCCGTCGATCCGCCGACCCGGTGCCCGCCATGCGCGACCCGGCGGAGATCCGCAGCCTCCCCATCGACATCGCCTTCGCCCGCCTGCAGGAGTGGCTGGTCGACCGCAAGCGGGTGCCGCAGGACTGGCGGAAGCGCCTCGCCGCCATCCGCGCCCGCCTCGCCGCCGCCTTCTCCTCCCTCCCGCGGGACATCCACCCCTACCTCCAAACCCTCGAGCTCGAAGGTAACTCCTCCCTCTCAGGCTTAGCTCTCGGTTCGGTTGCGCAGCGTCTGTGTAAGTTTGGCGAAATCCCCACGGCAAAACCCTCGTCCACTTGCTTCTACAACAATCCTCCTTAGTCCCGCAGTCTGCTGGTAATAATTATGTGAGCGTGGAATCTAATTCTGTACCTGTGTTCTCCTTTCGTTCCGTAGAAATTGGGTACCTTGAAGCGAAGAAGATATACAGCATACTCCTGGAATCCAACACCGATAGCAGGAACATTTTTGGCCGCCTGACAGGCTCCGCGGTACGATTTACTAGTTTTTGTTGTTTAGATAAATGTATCTGCGAGTGCGGGGACTCACATATGTTTTGATGCAAATGTGATGTTTAGGGCGAATGGGAGTCGATCGTTAAAGCTTATGAGAAGGACCATGTTTTTCTTGGAGAGGCAGCTCAGATCATGGTCCAGAATGTGAACTATGACATGTACTAAGCCTTTCCTTGGTCTCTCGTTTTTATTCTTCTGCTTAACCTAGCATCTTCATATTCAATTTCAAATCCATTCTTTGGCTACCTCAAGACCATATCAGAGGAAACAGATGCAGAAGACTCAGCAGCAGCTAGCAGAACTGGACCGCAGGGAGGCTGACATTAAGCGACTTGCTGCCCTTTCAGCAACTAGGTATGCGGAAGCTTGCCAGGAGCTTGGTCTGCAGGTTAGCTTCTCTATCTGAGAGAAACTCTTTTGGCCTTTTGGGTTTATGGGTGTTGGTATTGTTGCTTACTGTGTTGTATTCATGTGCTGCTTGCTTTGACTTTTATGTGTAGGGGATAGATGTGCGGCAAGAACTGATAGAATCTGCAAAAACACTTCCATCAACATTTAGCAAAATCTTGGAAGTCCTGAACAGTGATACTGTCTCACAGGCCATGGACTACTATACAACTTTTGTTAGGGACTGCCATACTGAGGATAAGGTATAGCCAGTATTACGAGGAACATAACAAATATTGGTTCTGGAAATTGCTATACAACTCCTGTGAATTTTAACCCTGTGTTTATTGATTTAGGAGAACTACAAGTCTGTGGTACACAATCTGAAACAGTTGCAAGCTAATCCTCCTTCCCTGCATGTCTCAGTATGTAAAGAGGTGCAGAATTCACTTGGAACAGCAATGGACGGAGGAGAACCCATCGACTCTAATGTTCCTGCAGATGATATTGATTGGGACATTTCAGTGGATAATAATGGTATTGACTGGGACATTGGTGCGGTGGAACAACCTGTGGAAGAATCTGGCAATGGTTTTGGGTCTTATGAAATTATTGATGCCAATATAGAGTTGGCAGGCTCTGAAATTTACGGTGTTGGTGTTTCAGCCTATCCATCTGCAGACAAAGAAGGCCTTACGTGCGATACATCCGAGAATCAGATTTGCTGGGACATCTCAACTGATAATCCTGAAGAAAGTGCTATTGTCGAGAATGCCCCAACTGAATCAGGGCAATATGAATGTTTAACTGAGGAAAGAAGTCAGTTGCTGGAGAAGGAGTACAGAAATAATATCCTGGATGATTTACTTGAGGTATTTGACATTTTTAATGCCCCCTTCTAGACAAGTGTAAATGCTTTAGATGCATGTCATATAATTACAACAATTATCCATTCTAAGGTCTTATGTTTTGTATATCAAAGGTCTCTCTTTAAGTAATCACGATGATAGTATTGTTATTGCACTTGTACAAGGCTGCTTTGCCAACCTGTCCCTTTTTAGTAATAAGCAAAATAACCAATATTGTAGCTTCTTTTTTTAGTCCGAGGTTAGCTCATGATTTCTGACACTTGAAACAGGTAAAATCATTTTTGATCCTGCGCTCAGCGGAGATGAGAAATGCTGATACATCATCTCTACAGCATCAGGTGCAAGCAGTCTCACCTTTCGTTCTCCAACAGTATACTCCTGAACGTTTGGAGAATATGCTTGTGGAAGTTTCCTCAGCAATCTCTCTGCTCACCAACCAGAAAACTCTTGACCTTATAATGATCCTCAACTCTAAAAGGTAAGAAGGTTTACCTTGAAAGTTTACACTCTTGCTTATCCTATATACCTAAACAAATGATACTGACTTGTGTCTTCCATTGTTGCTACAGTAGTGCACTTATTATTCCTCGTAGCGTTGTCTCGAAGGCTCAAATTAACACAGTTGTCCCTAACAAATACATATTCCTTCTAACATTTCCTTTACTGACATTGCTTCCTTTGCTGTTCCAAGGTTTTTGGACAGATTAGTGTCAACCTTAGAGGAAAAGAAACATCATGAGGTGAAACTGCGAGAAGGCTTAGGTGATTTATCAGTTAAGCGTATGGAGCTGCAAAATGCACTATCATCATCCTGGCCGAAGCAAGTATGTGATATTTTTTTTTCTATCATAGCGTTTGATTACATGTATATTATTGTTCTCAGTGGTCCGCACTTACGTCACTTACCCTAAAAGCTCTCCATCCAAAGTGGTCTTGTGAACAACTGCATTCTTACTTCTAATTTAAATTTGCTGAAGGACTAGTTTTTGGTCCATCGTGGGCTAATAAATCCAAACACTATTACTTTCCTTGTGCTTTCTGTACTCAACCTGTATGTTAACAATTTTACTTTTCTAATGTTAGGAGGCAGCAATTACAAAAACAAGGGAACTAAAGAAGCTCTCTGAGGCAACGCTTTCATCTATGTTTGATAGCAGACCAGTGCATATAATTGGAGAGATTAATAATTTACCGAGTTCAAGTGTTAGTCAGTTAGCTGGGTGATTTGACTGATTGTACCTTCGTCCCTGAACCAAAATAAATGATATGTAAAGCAGGTTGAATATCTTATGTTATCTACTTTTGCAACGTATAGTCCTTGTTCTTGCGATGATTTTTCTGCCATAAATCTTCTTAAACTATGTATGGCTTTAATTGCATTTTGAATATCGGACTCAGCCTTATGAATATGCTCTGCAGTCTACATAATAGGGCACTAGAAACGCAACATGAGTGCAGTATAGAATGCAGTTAAGTTGGCCTGTGAATAATGTCATGTGGTTTCAAAAAGTTCAATTTTATCAATCATTTCAATGAAGTTCCTGAAAAATGCTAAATGGTATTTGATCACTCACCCAACATAAGTATTTATATGACCTAAGTAGCAAATGATAAGGCCTGATGTCAGTGCTAAATTATTGCTATGCTGTGATTTACTGGAAGCAACTGGAACATCTATTGCTTGTTTAGTGCTTACAAATGCCATGTGTTCATCCCAATACGTTTTTAAATTGGTTTGCGATCAAGGGGGACTACATCTGTTATCCCTTACTTAATGTTATTACATTGGAAACAGTAGCATGTTCCGGAAATTAAAATGAAGTTACCCATACCATATTAGGTACAAGTGAGCTACTCAGAGTATTATACTGATGAATGCTAGCTATCACAATAGGATTTATCCATTATGCTGACACTGTACTACATAAAAGAGTTAGGCTTATACAATACAATTTTTAGTGATGAAGAAACTTCTGAAACCATTGGCTTGATCGCTTTGGATATCGTTTCAGACCATCCTTGTAGTTGATGTAGTTAAGACCAAACCGAACACTATAACCATCCACCCACTCGAAGTTGTCAAATAGTGACCATGCAAAGTATCCTCGTACGTCAACTCCTTGCCTGACAACATGTCATGCAGATACTTCATTGTTTTGGCATAAATCGAGTTTAAGCATTGTGATATTACTCCCTCCGCCCATAATATATGAGTGTTTTTGACACTACACTAGTGTAAAAAACGCAACGCTCTTATATTATGGGACGGAGGGAGTAGTTATTAACGAATCTAATTATCTACATGTAGTCAATCTTCAAACTTACTTTAGGGCTCTTTGAACATAGAATATGTGTTGCTGGTAGAATTCTATTCTGGTATTGTCAATTAACGCTTCTTGAAGAGGTAAATTTTCATTGTTAATTTCATCAACACCTGCAATATGAGTGTTTCTTCAAGTAAGCAGTGGAGCAAATTGACATTGTTTGCAGTTATGCTTTTCTACCATTTTCTGTGATGTATATAGTAGGGTTGTTATATGTCTTCTTGGTATATAGCAGTAGTTCTTCTATTCCTCTTGGATAGATATAGAGCCAAGAAGAGCCAGCCTGGAGACAAATATATTTCCGTTAAATAGTACTCCCTCCATTCCGAATTACTTGTCGCAGATATGGATGTATCTAGATGTATTTTAGTTCTAGATACATCTATTTCTGCGACGAGTAATTTGGAACGGAGGGAGTATAAAACTAGACCTGGTTACAAATGTCCAACATGAATAAAGATGATATATGTCTGTGAGCAAGTCATACCTTTGGGCCAATATACGTTCCATTTCTTTCCACTGTTGCATGCGGAGAAACTATTAGCTCACCTGATCTATTCGAAAGCAGAATAAAGATCAGATAGCTTACATACCTCTTTGATCAGTTTGTGAATCAGTACTGTAGCTTTCTTTACTATTGCTATTGTGTTTAGTATTCTTTGCATATCTTGCTGAATAATAATTAAGGCCAATGAAATCAAATGATCCTTTTACAGCCCTTGCCTGCTCTTTTGTGAATTTTGGTAGTCTGTTACCAACCAGTGTTTTCATGCTGAGTGGATAATGTCCCTTGGTTAAGGGATCCATGAACCTGTTCAATTTATGAATGAGTTATGTGAATAAAAAAGTTACAATAATTTGCCAATTGCAGTGGCTTGAAACTTCATGGATAAACCTGAAGCACATGTTGGATTTACTGAACTCACCATCCATACATGAAGTCCAATGCACGTTTGGAAGCATCCTTGTCTTCTTTGGAATTTGTGTAGGGAATTATCCAATTACTAACTATTGTAATGCTGATCTTCCCTTTTTGCTCTATCTGTGTGATTAATGACTAATTGATATATCACTGTAAAATAACAAGCTGGCAAAAGGTATGGATGTTTGTTAATAAAACTATTTAGACTTTCCTTGTTCCTGTTAGGAGATACCATTGTATTTTGTATGGTCGATATTTAACTAGAAGATCTGTGGCAACTGACAGTTTTGTATACATCGAAAGCTGCCAATCCTTACTTCTGAGAGTAGATTGTGTAGGGAATGTTTCTGGTGTATTGGTTCTACTGCGAGGAACCTCATATGGCCATAAGTTAGAAGATTTATGCTAATACTGTATGTACTGTTCACATGCTAGAATGTGTTTTAATCTATTTGCCATAGTTCTTCACCTGTATTTTGTTACTGAAAGAACCACAGTGAAGAAATCCAAGTCGTACCTGGTATTTGTCTCTGTACACTTGAACTGCTGCTGCATGAGCCAGAAGTTGATTATGAGCTACTATATAAGGTTCCCTTCCCGAGTCTCCCATGCTACAACCTGGCTTTGCCGAAGACGAGCATCTACCAGGTGCGTATGTACCACTAGAATAGCCACCAATACTGAAACTCCAAGGCTCGTTGAATGTTATCCAGTACTTCACCCTGTCACCAAACTCCCTGAAGCAGATGCTGGCATAGTCCTTGAAATCTTCCCTGATAATGTTGGCACAGCTTGAATAAGTTCAGTTTTCTTTTCTTTTTCTTAGAATATCATCTTGTTTCTTGTTGTTGATCAGAGTAATGAGTTTGGATCCATGAACAAATATTCATGAGTCGATAGGTCATTTTACTTACACAATAAGCTGGCTTAAGAAGCCACCATACTGCTGTTCTAATACTTCCGGGGAGTCCCAGTGAAAAAGGGTTACAAATGGTTCAATACCTGCATTGTTGGTTAAACATTATAGGATGCAAACACATAATAATACCAGAAACCAACTTTTACCTTCCGAAATGAGTTTATCGATGAGATTGTTGTAGTAATTGATTCCTTCCATGTTGACCCCTCCACTCAATTTCCCACCTGTACCCATGGTACCATTGCATGAGCTAGTTGATTGTGATCAATATCTATTTCTTGTTAATCTAGATTGATTCTCAGTTAGAAGTGTGTCAGGGTTTCGGTGCATATCAGTGGGAAAGGTTTGCAAGTTTTGGCTGTAGTAATGACTGGTTAGCTGGCTTTGTTCAAAACGTGTGGGATTAGTTGCGCACTTCACATCTGAAGTGTATTTAACTACAAGGTCATCAAGATTCTTTTACCATTAGCCGAGAATATAAGCCCTACATGTATAAGAAAACTGTAAAAGGCTATGAGAATACTTACTAGGCAGAATAAAGGTTATGAGAATACTTACTAGGCAGAATTCGTGACCAAGAAAGAGAAAATCTATAGGCATTAAAGCCCAAATCCTTCATGATGTTGACATCGTCCTACACAAACAAGGTGGATGACACCTGATAGTATTATGCATTGAGGTGGATATATATGAATGGTCACTAGTTAGTATAATCAGTATAAGCACTACCTTGTACCGGTGGTAGGAGTCTATTGCTACATCTCCATTGCTTCCATTTGCTATCTTTTCTGAATTTAGAAATTAGAGGAACTTTAATTACAAATCACCATAGCTAGTCTGAAACTCTGAACATGAATGAATTGACATTGAGATTACGGGAGCACTTCTTTCATGCATAGGTAAACCGTCTTGAGTTATGGAGCAGATGCTAAAGGTGAGACACTGGCCAGCATCAATGCTAAGGGATATGAGGATAGGCGCTAAGACCAAAATGCTTGCCGGCAGCGCTAAGCTTAGCATTCAGTACAAAGCTAAAAAGTTATTTAAATTAGTTCATGTATATCGTTTAGTGTAAATGATTTTTTTGGGTCCTTAACACCTACGGGTGGTGCTAGGAGATATGGCAAATGAAGCTTAAAGATGTAACCGTAGATAGAAAACTGATGTGTCTATCTTAGCGTCCAAAGTATGGCTGCTAAGGGTGCAGATGCTCTCCAAAGCCAAAAAAATAAAATCTTTTGTTTGTTGCTATTTTCACATGAGGTAACTGAAGTATAGCGTAAGAAGAGTGATTGTTTAAACTATTAGACGTTCAAATCATTTTTTCTCTTTGCGCTTGCTTTTGTCTTTTGGCTGTGCTTGTTGGTAGGTGTCGTATGAACATTCGTGCCCCTTTACAAGCTATGAGCCTATGACCTTTCTGAATAATGAATTACCTTTGTTTCCTCACAGATCAGTTGACCAGGTGGCCGAAGACCACTTTTAAGTCCTAATTAGATGTGCTTTTGTATGAAGAGTACTTTCAAATTCTATAAATCAGGCCCGCATGTTACATCAATGTTTTTCTTTATTTAAGGTTATTCACATGTTAATATGTTATGCTCAAGAAAACACTTAACTAGTACTCCCTTCGTTCCATAATAAGTGTTGTGGTTTTAGTTTTTTAGTGAACTAAAACCACGACACTTATTAGTGGTTTTAGTTTTTTAGTGAACTAAAACCACGACACTTATTATGGAACGGGCCTGCTAAAAAAGTGGCATTATACTATGCTAGTAGAGATCACTAGATTATATGTTCTTGTTCATTCGAAAATCATCATTTTTGCTCGCTTGTTTGGAAGCCGAGTGGCAAGTACTCTTTTTGTGTGGGAAATTTCAAGTGATTAACCTCTCAATTTTATGCTGAGTTACTGTTCAGCTGTTCATAGTTAGTTGTCTTAGGACCGGGGCGAAGGGAGTAGAAGCTCTTCATTTTGTGTGCTAGCCCTCCTGGGAAGGAGGCTACGTCCAGAAGGCAAGCTGTGACGTTTACTTTTGTGAGTTACCAGGCATCTCATGCCATGTACCCCGGTAACTTGGTAAGTACTCCCTTCGTCCCATAATGTAAGACGTTTTTCAACACTACACTAGTGTCAAAAAGCGTCTTACATTATGAGACGGAGGGAGTAGTTGCGACGATATGGAAAATAATAGAATAGGAATGCATTAGCTTGTTTATGACAAATTAAGGACAGGTTAAAAAAACAAAGACGAAACGCTGTGTGTGCGATCTCTCTCTTTTTTTTGGAATGGAGGCAAAAGATCTCGTGCATGAGCAGAAACAAGGACCTGGGTGATTGTGAGTGAAGGCGTCCCAGATGCTGGGTCCTCTGCCGCCTTCCCTCGCAGCACCTTCATACTGCATCAGCATCACACAAGGCGCGTCAGAGCTTTAACTCCTTCGTTCCAGTAGCTTCTCTTCCAGCAATCTCCAGATTGTGCTAGAACTTACCTGGTAAGCCGAAGAGGCTGTGCCGAAGAGGAAGTCCTTGGGGAACTGACTCCTTGCGATCTTGCCTGGGTTCGCGTCGGCCTGTGCCGCCACCACCGTCGAGGAAAGCAAGAAGATCATGAGTAGAAGGAACATGGCTGTGTGTGCTCCTCTTGTTTCTTTCTCTCCGTGTGCTAATGTGCTCACCGGGGCTTGTTATATATAGTGTGTTTCTATTTCTGGAGATGGAGAGCAACTGGGTGGTGGAAGAAGCGGAAATCATTGTGCAGTGGCTGCTTTATGATCCGCGCCAGTGTTGCCACCGAGCCAACAGTCACCAGCGAAATCTTTGCCGCGTTGAATCGCCGGTCGAGCACATAACAAT